TGTGAATATAACTCAATAAAGCAATTTGTAATTATGGCTCAGTAAGGGAACCTGTAATGTGACTGATACATAGCAAGAGTGTGTTATCCAATAAGAAGCGGAAAATTACTTTTTTTGAAATAGTACGCAAATTGCGTAAAGCTCATTTCGAAATTCGAATGAGTACACGAAAATTCGCGTTTCTGTGTGGTGAACTTTAACATCGATAATCGGTATGTTTCCTTGCTCCTTGAATGTTTCTTATAATGAGGTTTGTTTTGTATTAACTTTATTCTATCATATATATAACAATATCAGCGCAAATTTTTCATAGTTTTGTCTTCTTTCGTGGCGGTTCGAACTGAAACTCATCAAGTTAACCAATGATTCAGGTGAGTCAATTTACCTTCTGGTGAGTCGCAGCCATCACCCCCGATATTACGCTGCTGCTTATTATTTTTATGACCGGGTGATGATCAGCTACTTCACTAAGCGACAACATTCTTCTATCTTGGACCTGCAAGTTCTTCTTTCCAACCGCAATACCGAGGAAACGGCCCGTTTCGTTATAGATCGCGGATCCGGAGTCTCCTTGTCGTCCGTGAGTAGTTCCAACAAAAAAAGAAACTGTAAGGATTAATTGCTGGAAGATTTAGACATTTCAAATACAATGCGTCTCTGCTATAATCCCATCTTTCCAGGTTGGTCTTCGGATTTCGTTAACACCGAGTTGGTAGTATCTTTGGCATCGGGTAATACATCCCAACTCGGTAGCGAAACTATCAAACTCCACTTTATTTTTCAACTCGAAGACGATTACATCGTTTACATCGCACATGGCTTGCACTATTGTCTGAAAGAATGTGTCTTTTTGATACTCTGAGGCAAATAGACCTTGTATTCGACTTGTGGCCGTATGACGCTGTACAAGATAACCTCTTCTCCTACTTTGAACTTAGAATGTGGTCCGTGTTGAAATGACACAGCATATCTGGGTTTGAAAGCTATAACGCAGCATTGGGGAATGTTGGGATCCGGTTTCGTCGTAGTAAGAAGAGTTTCTTCGAGCTGGTCTACCATAGCAACATCCATGATCAATTAACGTCTATTCCTGGTACATAAGATATAGAGGTCAGAAGGTGAGTGAATCATATTTCACGTGAACTTATTATAGTTAAAAGCTAATAACACATAGAATCTTATAATTATCATGTTACATTGGAAGGTAATACGATTTCTGCTTTCCAAGCTTAAATCATCAGAAAGTATCAGTGATAGTTGACAACGCTTGAGGATAGGCAAAACTCAGTTCGTCAACAAAGAAGTCATAATCGAAAACTTTAAATGAGGACCATGATAAGGTAAAAAATGGAAGACCAGTTCTCAACAAATATTTATTTTTTTTAGTACATGTCCCGCGCGTAAACGTTTGAATGTGTATGATCCGGCAAATCTTTTCCATCACCAATATTCGGCGTTTTCGAGCCTTTGTTTTGAGGTCTTACAAGATAGGTAATGGTGGTTTTATATTTAAAGATGTCCTTGAAGTCCTTTTCATATGCTTTGTAAATAAGATGGACAGGACTGGAGCAACTCCTTCCAAGGCCCTGGTTGGCTTGCGTAATAAGTTAAATCACAATGCAGCTCTCATTCATCTTCTAACTGGTAAAGTATTAAATCATTATTTATTTTTTCCAACATGTTTTTTGAGGACTCAGACTTTCATGGAATTGAGACTTGATTAATGAACAAGCGATTTATTACGAAGGTGATGAAATCCCGAACGAGTTGCGAGTTCAAGCAAAAGATTTATGTCAGCAAAGGATAGGTGGCTTATGATCAGATGAGTTCAGCTGATAATGTTAAATAAAACATATTGTCAATAGAGATGAAGAATCGGGAGAGATGTTCTTGAATCCATCGATTAATTAAATTCATGCTGCCATCCGGAGATCAGTTGTTAAGGTTAGAGTGAACATTTTGTATGATTTTTAGAAGGAGATATTCAGAAATCATTTGTTCCTGTTCTTCCTGGATCAGCGCTGAAGAAAAAAGGTGTCTAAACTATGATTGATAGTGTTGTATGCTATTTACCAAACCCAAGTGAAGTTCGAAATAGAGCTACTATCAAACGAGGCTGGGTATTGCTTTCCACTCTTTTCTCCGAGAATGTCGACCTTTCTTGTAGAAGTGATGAGGAGAAAACAATATTTTTATCTCACGAAAGATCCAGTAAAGAACCGTTCGTTGGTCTCGCTTTCCAGTTGGAAGTACGTTTTGTGATTTCTGCCTCGTATTCTAGCTTCTGTTATTTCAGGCAGGAAAGTATGGACAAGATAAGACAAGAAGACAATAAGATAAGAACCGAAATCAAAAAGACAGATCAACTTCTGAATGCCCTATATCCTGCACGATATTGCTCGACCATCAAACTGAAACATAACAATTAAAACATTGCTTCAACTAAACCAATTTACCCCTGGACCAACAGTCCCCTAAATGCCCAAAATGAAATAAACTCAAAATGCGTCATATTTTGTGTTCTGTAACCGAACTAATGATTTCCATATCTTGATGATTATCAGAAGTTGAGAAGTTTCTATTTTATAGAGCAACTTATTCCTTTGCTGGAAAGCATAGCAAATATTATTGACCCTTGAGAGCATGATTGATGAAAGGCCTCCTACTCATGAACAACGAGTAATCAAAATATATTTGGTTAGATTTTAGATCTCAAGCATATCATCACTTATAAAATTAACAACTATATGAAAACAGAGAAGACATTTTGACATTCTGCATTACATTGACTCACATCCTTAGATTCGCAGAAGGTTACAGCCGCATTGGAATGAAGAAAGGATCAATTATCACTCGAAAGATCACCTGAAAATAAAAATCTATTCGATCCCACCGCTAAGACGACTATTTTAAATCAAAAAATTATGCCAAGCCCTGAAATAAACTGTAGTCTGTATTTTTTACTCTCTTATTTCTTCACATGTTCAAAAACAAATAATCTGGAGAAA